TCTAGAAGATTTTCCACAACGGTAGGTTTAAATAAAAAACATAAAAAATGAATATATCTGTGAATATTATGTGACTGTTTTTTTTTTTTTTATTAGATTATTAAACGGAAGCAAATTGATACAATCTTTTTTTTTCTTTTTTTTGTTGAAATAGATCCGCCAGATGTAACTTCATTACAAACAAAAACCTATCATTTTCCAGGTGATTCTATAGCATTTGTGTGTTTTATTGACTCTAATCCTGATCCAAATATCAGATGGTTTCATACCTCAGCTAATTCCAATAGTAATCGTAAAGATTTGACAACCTTTTATCAAGGACAACATAATTCTAATGTTTGGTCAATTGTTGAAGAAAAATTAAACAATACAAGGTGGAAAACTATACTTTACATTAAAGTAGGTGATATTTAACAAATAAATTCTATTTTTTAGTTCATTATACAAGTTTTTTTTGTTTTATTTGTCTATTTCTCATTTAGCACGTAGCAAAACGTTTTCTTAACACAGAATTTATTTGCTATGCAAAAAATAAATTAGGTGATAGTCAACATTCAATCCATTTAGCAGGTTGTATTAATGGGAAAAAAAATATATAATTTTTGACATACATATTGAGAATTGTCTAGCTAATTTTCTTCTTCATAAATTTCAATAATAATTTTTTTATTTTAGAAAATATTCGAAGATTAGATAATCATGTTAAAAAACATCGACTTACTACAATGTCAAATTTATTAACATCAAAAGAGAGTGAATATTTATTACTTAAACCGGTATCCGATTATAATGATGTTAAAATTAGACGTATGGATGATACATCACGAAGAAAATTTCACAACAGTAAGCTATATAAATAAATTATTTTATCAAAATCTTATTCTAATATAAACTTTGTTTTTTATTTTTATTTTTTTCAAAGAAAAATTGTCTACTACATCAAGTATATCACTTTCAAAACAAACCATTTCTAATAGTTCTATAAATCATTTTAATCAAACTTGTTTCTTTTATTCACTAGTAATTTATATATTCTTCATAATAAAACATTGATCAAGTCTTTTCTATCGATTAGAAAATCCGTCCATTCCAATTATAATGAAGATAAATAATTTTTAAAGAACTGTCACTCTAAACTTATAATAATAATAATAAAAAAAAACCTATCGAACTTCATTTTTTGTTTTTATCAGTATTATAGATCTTTATTGTTTCTTTTATTTTGTGTTTTTTCTACTTCTTCTTTTTCTTTTTTTGACATAATAAAATATACATCTATAAATAAATGAAGCTTTTTTAGTCTAATAAATTCATCTTTGATTTTTCAATTTCATTTGTTCACAAAATATTCAATAATCTAAATATTTTGTATTATTCAAAAACATATCCTATTGTTTGCTAATAATTTTGATATGTTTGTTATCATTCTCATGTGATATTCTAGTAAAAGTAGATAACAAGAATTATTTATAATAAACATGTTTGTGATAGATAATAATTCTAAGATGATAACATTTGTTTTAGAGAGACAAATATCACAAAGAATTATGATGTGAAAATATTGAATTAAAATTAAAGAGAATAAACAATTCTTGACCATTATTTTGTATAATAACAAAAAAAAAACAAGAAAAGTAAGAGAAAAAAAAAATATTTTACATAAAAATTATCTGAGTATATCTAGATTTAGAAATGAAATTCAATTGATACTGTTTTAAATTGAAAAAAATATTTGAGAAACAAATCGAGAACACGACATTTTTTAGTTTGTGGTAGGAGTACTAGCACTTACAGTCGATTTTGTCTGCTGTATTTGTTTAATAATTGTTAAGTAATGATCATTAAAAACAATTTTATTATAATTAATCAAACGAATAAATAGACGAACAGTTGTAATTATTTCATCCATAACAAGAGTGAGTCCACTTGGTACAACAATATTAGACAATGATGAACTATTTGTCATATTAGCTGATTGAATCAATAGTTGTTGAACGAATGTTACATAACGATTAACTTAAAAAATAAAAATAAAAATATTGTGAGATACGAAAATTAATTTTGAAATCAGAAAGTATTGTCTCAAATCACTGAAACTATGATGAAAAAAATGTTTTTTCAACAATTTTTTAATCATTAGGTTAACATTCGAGAGAGAATATATAAATTCGTTAAAATAGAAAACGTTTTTTTTTTTTACATACATAATAACTTAAATACGGGATGTTCAGTTAGCTTATGATCAACGATTGTCAGTATGGAATCTTTGATTATTTGTTCATTATCAACAATAATTTTTGCTTGATTATATTTTTCAAGTTCTTCTCGGGATGTTTTTACTACTTGTTCACCTAATGATGCTAATAGATCACGTAATTTCCTAATATCAAAAATAATAACAGTCACATAATATTCACAGATATATTCATTTTTTATGTTTTTTATTTAAACCTACCGTTGTGGAAAATCTTCTAGAATAATAATCATTTGTGTTTTTAATAGAGTTCTTAATGACTCATAATCACGTAGTATTGAACCAGTTATATGTGATAATATTCCAATAATAGTGGCAATAATGAGTAAACGCATTGAGCCAATATGAACTTGATTAAAACGAATTTCATCCAATTGTAAAGTCTAAATATTCAAGACATGCGTATGTATGAATTGTGATGATCAACTTAAAAAAAATATATATCAAACAACGTACTTCAGGAAAAGAATTTTTAGGATTCCAGAGAAGTATTTCCATATAAGCTTCATTTAAAATTGTTAGAGGTAATACACTTCCATCAGATTGATCTGGTACAATATAAGAACCAATTGTTATTTTCTTTTGTATACGTTCAAATGCACGTTCAAGCCAATTATAACTGGCTGCCAGTGGATCAATGCCCATATCTATAAAAATTTATTTTCATTTATTTTTAGAATCAAATAAAAAATGTTCCGATGTAATGTAAAATAAGATTTTTATTAATATCCTATTACTATCTATCTCATTAGCTAACCTTATCTTCTATGATCACAAGTTTATTACTTTGACTAAAATTTTTATTAAACATTATGAGACTTTATCTACCTTTCACATCAACTATACAATAGATGTAATCTCATGTGACATACTTCGTTGAGCTTCAATAAATTTTTCAAATGTTGATTTTTCATAATTAACAGATTGTTGTTGCAATAATGGACGATATTGTCTAATGTTAAAATTGGCCATATCAAGTTTCATTAGATTCAACAATTCCATGATTCCTCTAAATGCATATGATAAAATTTATATTCTTCTCTTGCATTTGAATTGTGCAGTGGCGACGCGAGTGTGTGTGTAGGAGAGGGAAGAAGTGAAACTTTGTTTTGAAGAATTGTTGGCTCACTTTTCAAAGAATGAAATATAACTGTACATGAAATTCTAGAATAGGACTATTCGTCATTATATCTATGCATAAACTAATTGCTACTAATCGTTTGCTGCAGATAGACCAGATACCTCGATGTAATGAATTTTTTTGTCAGTCTGACACAATGAGATTGAAGAACTTTTTCTGACTGTTAAATCACCCTCAAAAAGATTTTAGTCCCTTTATTAGATTTTCCAATACATCCATTTTTTATCTAAAACAGTGACGTCAGAACAAGTTAGAAACTGTGAGGACGAATTTTTTGAGAAAAACTGAAGATAACCCAGGTCCGCCCACTTTTACATGGATTGAAAACTGGCAATGTTCCACTATGCTAAGTTTGTAGCCTGTATTGATTGAGAAAAGGAATCAGAGATAGCAGAGATATAGCGATTATATGGCAAATTCACAGAAATAAAGCCTTAAAGTTGTGGAAGCTGCCTAGCATCCCGTCTCCACCGTTTTTTTGCATGCAAAAATTTGTCGGTACGTCGTTCCCACTGTCCCCCTCCATGGTTCTATCGCCTATAGCCTAGACCTCTTCGAATTACCACTGGTTACCACTTCGAATTACCACCGAGAAACATACCGAAAACATTCGACAGGATCATTAACCATTTTCAATTTTGCTATTTGTTCATCACGACATTCTGCACATAAAGTACTCATCATATCAATAAAATATTTTATATATTCATGTGGATTGGCAGTATTGGCTTCAAATTTCTTTTTAACGATTTCTAAATCAACTGCTTCGTCAATCTGTTGTTTTAATACTGTTTGATAAGGTAATACCAATGATTTCAAATCCTTGAGAGAAAACAATAGGCAAATTAGACTTTAAAAAGTCTGAAATATTACGTACTTCCTTAGCTTCACCGATTAAATTGACAACATGTTCATAACGTGGTGGATCTGCCTGTAAATCTTCACGAAGTATATCCCAAAATGCAGAATGCATAGTATCATGGACTTTTTCTGCCATACTTCCTTTTTCATATTCTGGTAATTCAAGTTTAAAATCTTTGTTAAACACAATTTCATGTGCTAATTGTAAATTTTGTGCATTTCGATTCGCTTCCATCATTTGACTAAATTCGATAAAACGTGGAGGTGATGCTAGAATATGACAAATAAAATACACTTGTTACATTTATTGCACATCCGATGACCTACTGGTCTTACCAGGAAAAGTGGAAGTTGTATTATTGCCAGTAGTGGGTATTGCCTGTGATGTTGATGTTGCTTGTCGAGGAGATACAGATCCCAAATTCAACCACCCAAGTACAGCACCGATTGGTGGTGACGGTTCTTGTTCTTTTGATGAACTATTATTATCATTTGTTGATCGTTTATCTTCGTTCGACATCTATAACGTGAAGTCATAGATAATAGAATAAGCTAAACATTTTGAATTAAAGTCAATTTTTCTAACTTCTAAGCACTAATAAAAATGATATCATGCACATATGCAAAGTAATTTGATCAATAGATAATGTGTATAACTGAATGAGATAAATTGGATTAAGTATCAATAGTTTTTTTTTCTAATGCTTTTACATCAACGGGAATACATGTAAAAAATAAAACCTCACGCTAAACAAACAAGAAATACAAATAGTAGGAGACATAACTGTCCCTACTTGAATAGAAAGATAGAAAGCAAATAAGCAAAAATATGAAAGAAAAACATCACTGTTTCTGTTTAAAAGTTATATATTTTTTTCTATTTGATAAAAGGGAACAAAGATCTATTTTGGTCTTATATAATAGAAAGACGAGCGAAGAAGAAATACCGTTACTTTCTACAAAGTTTATATAGAAAAAAAGAAAAAAGAAATGACAAAGAAGAACAGCAAACAAACTGTACAATTGTTTTTTTTAAAATCACTGAAGCACACTTACAAAACAAAAATACAGTACAAAAAATTTGTTTATTTGTATTTTTGAAATGTCTAAATCGTGAAATGAGATCAATATTCTGAAATCTGACTACTAGAACGATGATTGTTAATGTCATATTTTGAGACTTTTTGAATCCATAATGCAACATCTTGATTATCGATTTCATTTTCATATCGTTTGTAGAATGCATGATGCTAAAATAATAAAATATTGATATAATTGAAGAAAAAAGTAAAAGTTTTTAAAAGTACCAATAATGTATTTAAATCGGCTCGCTCTGACGTACTCTTCTTTAAACTAAAACGAAAAAATATCGTATAGTCAGTGTATTAGATACAATTAAAAAATAATAAAAAACGTACCAACGATCAATAAAATCACAAAATTCGGGTGAAAAATGTTTACGAGGTAAACTGGGTGGTGCCTGAAAGACAATGACAAATAGTGACTGTTCTTGAAATAAAATGTTTCAAAGAAAAATGTTTACTTCATTTACAATCCATTCCATTAACTCAAATATGGCCAAACCTTTCTGGCAACCAAATCCTTAAAAATAAAAGAGTATTTATTGCCTTAAAAAATCTATTAGAATACAATGTACACTGTGGCATTCATTTCATCTGACTAACCTTCTAATACTTCTTTTAAATGAACTCATGTAACTCTGCTAACACTGACAAACATACCTTCTGGTCTCGGTTCACAACCATGCGGATCTTGTTTAAATAATGCATCAATATCTTGTACAGATGGTGGTGGTATTGGATAACGACCAACAGCCATTTCGATGAGTGATAACCCAAGACTCCAAATATCCGACATAATACCATAATGAGTTCCTTCTAATCTTTCCGGCTAACATAAAAATGAATATATTGAATTAAATTATTTTTACGCAACTTTTTCAGTAGTACATACTGACATATACGATCTTGTACCGATAAATGTATATACCGTTGAGTCGATTAATTGTGCACTGACGCCAAAATCACATAACTTAATTTCACCTGAAATAAAGAAAGATATTTTATTTAAATATAAATAAGAAAATTAATATATAGATATGAAGTAATACCTTGTTGATTGACAAGAATATTTGATGGTTTTATATCTGAAATATAAAAATAGTGATCTTTAATCTGGAAACAAGTATTGTTTAAATACTAACCTCGATGCATAATTCGATGTTTTTCTCGTAAATATCTCAAACCACGAAGTACCTAAAGAGTATAAAATTATCGTTATTTTAATGGGAAATTGTAAAAAAGTGATCTTAGTGGTGAACAGTCGATTATTAGACTTACAGCAACAGTTATTTTTCCAAGTATAATTTCTGGTATACGCAAAACTTTTTTTAATATCAAATCCAGTGATCCACCATCCTATGTGAAACAATAAAGTATTTTAAAAAATGTATCTCAAATAAACAAGAAAATGGACGTCGGTAGTTAAAGAAAAGATTCAACTTAAACACTTTAAAAGATATGCGAGTATAGACTATTGTCACATACTGTCTTAGATACTTAATGTTCTGTCAAATTCCTTTCTAAATTCTCATTTTCTCACATCAGTCATATTTTGACATATACTCAACACAAAGTTTGTCTGCAAAAAACGATATAAAACCATGACTTCGAGTACAATTCAGTTCATCTGTACTAGAGTGAACTCTAAGCTAAGACCAATGCATACGCAACTCGTGTGGAAACATTATGAACTAGAAACTATTAGAAATTATTAGAAAATGGTAATGATTTATGGGTGTCATATAGTTAACTTTGAAACGAAGTACTTTTTAAAAATTCAGCTTTTATTTATAACGTTCTTCTTAGACAAACTTTGTGTTGAGTTTATATCAAAATGTGACTGATATGAGATTTGACAGAACACTAAGTATCTAAGATAGTATGTGATAATGTCTAGTCTATACTCGCATATCGTTTAAAGTTCTTGAGTTGAAACTTCTTTTTAACGGTCGGTGTCTTTTTATTTACCATATATTCCATGCAGATACTAATCTGTGCTTCGACAGCAAATGCGCCATAAAATCCAACGATATAAGGCGAATTACATTGATGAAGAACTTTAAGTTCACGAATAATTTGATTTTTCAATGCAGGTTTCACTTCCAAATAAATTAACTAAAATAAAGAAAACAAAATTTATAAATAAATAATGAGTTATTGTGTATCTCGATAATTAAAACTAAAAATACATGTTAGTATGCTACTAGAACGAGAAAACTTAATTAAATATTATTGTCCAACATGCATGCATAGACTATTCATTACAAACATAACAGCAAGTCACTACTTTTTGAACAATGTTTGAAAGAGAGAAAGTAGAGACGTTCGATTTTCACCATCCGATAGTTCAGACAGATTCTGTGAATAAAAACAATTTTCAAATTCTCTCCAAAGGTTAGTTTTGGTTGTTACAGATTACCACTACGTAGTTTTGTTTATGAGTTATGAAGTTTTGATCTTCCTTGACAGTAGACCAAAACAGGCTAATCAAGATTTTCACTAGATTTTCGATTTTTTTCGAGAAACAAACATTGCTACAATATTCAGCTAAAGAGATCCCAAAACTAACTTTCGGGAAGGATTTTGAAAATTGTTCTTTTCCATAGAATCTGTCTTAACTATCGGATGGTGAAAATTGAACGTGTCTATTTTCTCTTTCAAACATTGTTCAAAAGCAGTGACTTGCCTTTTTGTTTGCAATGGATATTATATAAACATAAACAATCGATTACTAATTCATCTTCTCAGGATTTGATGTTCAAATGTTTTGATTACGACAAACTTTTACAAAAAAATCATCTAGGACTTGTATTTTTGTTCGCTTGTAGTAATAAGCAATCTTTATCCAACTAAATCTAGTAAGCACACAAATTATTCAAACTAAAAGCATCATATGGATGTTAAAATACATTGTTTTTTTCTACCTGTTTCCGTATATCATCAAGATAATTGTAATCGCAAGCAAGAAAAATGTTACCAGAATAATACTACAAGACACAGCACAATACAATAAGCAATAAGCAATCAAATCAAATAAGCGTAAGTAAAAGAAAAATAATTATGTTGTTATTTTAAAAGAAATAATATTCTCCATTAAGCTTACTTTTCTTGCCATTATTTTTTCTGTTGGTTTATGTCGAACTTTCCATACTACACCACCATTTCCTTGACCAAGTTCACATATATTCACTAAATCATCTTGTTTCAATTCTCCAACAGCTTTTTTTGATTTAAAAAATTCTTCCATACGATCTTTTTGTTTATCTGTACAATCTAATTGATTGAATTCTTCCTTTAATCTTTCGATGCACACTTCTTGAACACTAAGTTAATTTAAACAAAAAACATAGTAAAGAATAAAAGAATAGAAAGAACGATGGAAACAAAGTAAATTACCCATTTTCATTATGGGGATCAATGGGATCACGTGGCACTTCGGGCAAAGTAAGGCCCAGTTTATTTTTTGTATGTGGTTCATTTTTTGTATGTGTTTCAGCAATTGGCATTTTTAAAAATAATATTTGAATACAACTAAAGTGTGAAACTAATAATCTGAAAAAAACGTCGATTTAAACAACCCACACTGATAATGTAACTTTCCTCAAAACATTATACAAGTTCTACAGCTTCATTATAGTGTCATTTTCTCATTTCTGATGCTTCACTGTAATCTGCCAGAATATTTTGCAACTTTTTTTCACAATAACTTGAAAAATTACTCTGTTTTCTGTCGAATGGTGGATTTGACAATATATTTTATAGTGTTTTTTTCTAAAAATATGGCTCAATACGCGAAGCTCTCAAAACATTTATTGTAAAAAGATCGGACGAAAGTCCTAAAGGCCTTTGGAAAAGATTATTAATGAGTAAAGCTTAGCGATTATTAATGGTAAACCAAGCGAATGTCAGCAATATTTATTCTTAAAATAAGTTTTTTTTGATCTAATTGATCGACAATGACTAAGTGTTTTTCGCTATTCAGAACGATAAAGTAGATGCAAACTATCCAGTAAATTTACCTGGAATATATTGAAAATTTGACTAAAATACATTTGACTTCGAGAGAACTAGTTTATGATGTAGCCGAAAGAATCCAATGTGAATAGTACAAACACAAAAACTATTAAATTGTTCATCACGATTGGAATTTGATTATATCATAAGAAAAAATAATCTAATCAAACTATGCATTTTCTTTGCGCAAGACAAAACAAAAGACTATCATACATGTCTATTCAATTTGGCATATTGACCTCGAAAGGTAAAAACGGCAGCCACACTTTGGACTGAAAGTGGATGCATCGAAGACTCATCTGTCGATGAGAAGATGACTTAAAAATATATTAAACATAAAAGCCGAGTTATTTAACGGAAAAACTGAAATTAATAAACTGATAGTAGTCAAAACATAAAGGACATGACAAATAAACACATGACTAACACCTGATAGATACCATTCTATTGTTTTAGCCGTAAGAAATTTGCCATAAATAAGATTCCATACCGAAGAAGGTAGATCTGATAAATTCTCACCTGATTGGGCAGTTTTTCCATAGTACATTCCCATAGCCAAAGGAATAGCGACATCTTCAAAACTCTCAAGATTTTCAGAGTTTCTGATTAAAAAGCCTTTATACCATCACTGCTGTAAATCCTATTATAAAAAAATTAAATCTATTGATTTCTATATGTATCTCTCAGTTACACTGGTTTTACGTACGACAAACTATCTCTCACCAACAACGGTTAAAAGAAATCAACAAATGTATACACGTTACGATACGCTAGGAGCACAATCAACGTAAATTCATCATGACACTAGCGACTTAGGTCTACCTTTTAGTTCTAGGTGTATCTTGAACATGTATACATCACATTTAACTCTGTAAAAGTTAACATCAGAAAAGTGAGTGATCATGCCATCCACTTTTCTGCATTGTATATCAAGGAAAATATATGAATTTTCTTTGTTTATCATTCATTATACTCGCTTTACAAGATCAAAAGTGTTATTCTGTTGGTTGACCAGTAATCCACTCTTACAGGTGACATTCTCTACCAAAACGGAAACTCATCAGGGCTGCCAACTGCAACGCTAGTATCAATGCGTTTTTCTGAAAAAAAAATCAGAAAAACGTATTGATGCTAGCGCTGCCGTTGGCAACCCTGATACGCACTCACTTTTTCGTTGTACGATGTTGCCTGCCAATAACAGTTGCCAATAGCCGGTAAGTTCAGCTTCAGCAGTTGCTGAAAGCTAGCTGCCACAAGAAAAAATGTGCAGAGCTCAAATATGGCCGACCAAACAATGAAATTTTCAACTTCAGGTGTTTGTTACTAGCAATAAATCATCTCGTTATTCAAGTGTCAATCAAGTCTCTTCGTAAAAATAGATTTTGTGAGAAAATAAGAAGAAAAAAGTTGAAAAAGAATGAGGCCAGACATATATAGGCGGCATCTCGTCGATGAAAATGATTGATCAATTTACTACACGAATTTACTATACGAATCATTTGTTTTGCTTTTCTTTGAAAATCAGCGGTCATTTTTGGCAGGTAACTTCTTCCAG